AAAATTGCTCCAACAAAAATATTAAGATGTTGGGTGTTTCTCAGAAAATATTATAAGTGTAAAAATGCACCTTAACCCTTCATTTTTCTAATTTGATAAAGGCAATCAAATCTTTCATACTCCACTTATATCTATCGCAAAGAATTATTGTTTGAGTTTTTGATACACATCCTTCATAGGTTATCCTTTAGAGTTTATTCTTACTTTCACTATGTTCGTGGCTAAACAATAAATACTAGGCGTGTCAGAGACGCTGAGTCTCAATAGATAATAAAAAAGATCCCGAGCTCCTTACCACAGTTCACTCGGATGTAAAAAGATACAAGGATTTAGTAGAACAAATGTATGATTTTTATTGAAGTATAAAAAAGATTATAAACTAAAAACTGAAAACTGATAAGAGCTAACAAATGTAAAATTTGCAAGTCTTTAATGGAGTGTTGACTTGTTTCTTCTGTATTTCCTCCTTTTATTTATAGTGTCAGAATAGTGGAAGCCTTTTGCTTGAAACTTAGCATGTTCTGCCGAAGAATTAGGAATCTCGTGAAACTTATGGCACGATCTCTCCATTTTGATAACCAGCCCGTTTTATCGAACTACTTGGGCATAGATTTCGGTATTACTTAAGATCGTGTCTTCATGCCAATGGTCTAATATTTGCCGCTGACCAAATTTCGGCATGTTTACTTTTTGTGGCCTTTATTGAGCTTCAGGGCCGGCCTCTTTCATTTATATTGGGCCTGACACTTCAATTACTCAGCCCAACTAATCTTGTAACTTATTTGAATGAAGTTTCATATTTAGCTCAAACACACTACTATCAATCATTGTGGTTTGATAACAAACTTGATTATGCTTAATTATAGAGATTCTTCCATGACCTATTTTTTAGAGAAGGTGAACTCATATTTAAGCTTTGTAGTTTGTTTGTTAAAAGTTCTTCCAAGACTAGGACATAACATAAAAAATGTTGTAATTACAAGTTATGAGTTTGATTATACATTTGATTGGATTATATTAAAATATCTACAAATTGAATTAAGGTCCAAATCACGTATTAGTGCTTTAGTAGTCTCTATCTTCCTCTACTAAAAGGCAAGAAATATAGTAAAAGATACTTGTTAAGTACTCTTTCAGAATCTCAATATAAGTTATAATTAATTAATTCACGATTTACGAATAATGTTAGTTAAAATTTTAAATTCTTAAAAATGTTCACATTTTTTATTTATACTTTCATTAAGTATCCTGTATAGGTCTTGATAATATTAATAAAAATTTCAATGTATGATTTTTTTCAAAAAGAGTAATAAATAAATTAGGAGTAAAGTTAAAAAAATAAATATAAAAGTTATCTGATGCATCAAATAAGCTTTTTAGAAAATGTCTTATATTGTTTCTAGAAGAGGGAATAAAGTTTTTGCTTTATTTTCAGCAACCAAATGGAAAACAAGTTATAAAAGTACAAGAAATCAAACCAGCTACATAGTTATTGTTCTAATGGTAATGAAGATAATTAAAATTTTGATTTTTCCACAATTACAATAAGATGTAGTCATGATAATAACTATAGTTCTCATAATATTATAATAACATAATTTGAACAAACCCATTATATTAAGTGTGATCACAGGGGAAAGGTTTTAAAAAATATATATATTCTTTCGACCATTACATTATACATATGTAAGTGGAGGTTGACAACACTTTTAAATTTACATCTTCATTTGAGTCTTAATAACTATTCTATATAAGTATAATGCAGATATTTGGAAAGTTATTTTAGTACAGCTACCCATGTGCATGATATTGGAATTTTATTTTGTTTTCATGATATTATTTTTTATTCATAAAAAGGCAAAATTCTTGTATTTAATTAATTTTAAAAGTTGTTATTTTTTTTAGGTCAATTATATGATGCACAGGAAATACACTAGTTTTTCTGTAATATCCTAACATATAAATGTGCAGAATTTATAACTTTCAGAAAGACCTCAAATACGAAAACATTAGAATCCCAAAATCAATTCAAATATTCAATAGACTCTTATAATGTCATAGACTCGTTAACTAAAAGAAGTAGTTAATTTTAATTATTATTTAAAATTTATTATAAAATAGATGAAATATAAAATAATCTATAATTAACTATTTTCAATACTGTATTATGATAAAAAGAAGCTAAAAATATAAAAACTAGTATCAAATAAACTATGGTTGATATTAAACCTATATGATAAAATAGAAGAAGCAGCACCTTGAAATTTGACATTTTAAAATATAAACAAATGGCATTTTAACTATTTTTTCCACTCTGTTTCAATTGAGTAAAGGCATTTTGACCTACAGAATTTTTGACACGAGTATTCGGTCCATCTCATAAACGTGTTTGATAGCTGGTACCCTAATTAATTTTGGCATAAATTTAATAATGTTTACTTCTTCTATTTAAAAATATAAGACATTTTTTGAGGAGTTAAATGTTTAAAACTATAAGACATTTTTAATTTTTCGAGGTGTAATCATTGCCTTTCTTTCAAAAGTGCCCCTATTAATAATGACTTCATATTTATTATAATGTGTTTAATAGGGATAAATATAAAAAGATAGAGTTAGTTTGAAAGTAAGTAACTACTTTATTGAAGTGAGGTTAAAAATGCCTTACATTTTTTAACGAAGAGAGTATAAAATAAAATATTTCTGAACAGGGGAATGCTTCAACATTCAAAACACTCCCTTGTTCAGTATTATAAAAAAATTTTTAGAGCATCATGTTAAAAAATATAAGATATTTTAGATTTTTTAAAAATGTGATTAATTAATTTTTTAAAATATCCTTAATGAGGGGTGTAATTAATAATTTTTGTAATTGAGATTCCATATTAAATAAAGGCAAATATAAAAATATATATATTAATGAAAGTTGGGTCTAGCAAAAAAGCTAATCCCTTATAATATGGCAAACAGAAATTCAATTTTTTCCTTGAAAAAGTGTTCTCGTTTAATATTCAACCGTTCCTTAAATAATAGAATTGCTTTCAATAGGAAGATTGCTATAACCAAAAAACAAAATATTCTAGCCACTATTAATTTTTCTTTAGATACACAAATATCCCCTCATTTAATATTTTTAGTAAATTTAGATAAAATTTAAATTTTTTCACTTAAAGAAAAAATAACAACTTGATCGATAATTTGTGTAAGTTTTTTAACAAATATATGTTTAATGAAATATATTTAAAAATTTTAAGTTACAAAATTGACAAATTAATTTCATATGACCAAAATTATAACATTTTCAATCTTAAAAAATAATTGAAAATATATTTGCTTGAAAGATGTTTTTATCTAACACACACACATAAATGATTAATTGTCCTAGCGATAACGTCACCTCTTCCTCTTAGAAGAAGTCCTAGGTTAGGGATAATTTTTTTTTTAAGCTAACACAAGCACAAACAATTGAAAATTTAATATTTAAAATTATTAAAACAATAAAAATTTAGAATTATAAAACTAATAAAATTTGATAAATTAATCAATTTAATAATATAAAAATTTGAAGATATATATTAAAATTATTTTGACAAAGATAAGTGTTTAAATGATTGTTAAGTAATATTTATGTTAAGGAGGAGCATTTTGATCAAAATAAAATATTAACAATTTAATGGTCAATTAACAGTTAAATATATCAAAGAAGCATATTAAAATTAGAAAGGAAATTTGTGTAACATATATTTTAATTTCAAGGAAGCTTCATGGAGGTTTTCAAAATAAAATGAACTTTGCAATTTAGATTAAATAGAGGGAGGTCAACGTATTTTATTTTAATAATAAATTCTTTTCTTTCATTTGTAATTCTAATTTTTTTCAAATAATTTTTATAAATTTTTAAATATATATAAAATAAAAACGTCTATGCTTAACCTTATATATTAAGGTACTTATTTCTAATTAAACCAACATGTGAATCTTGTATATTCTCTTTGTTCAAAAATATAAAGTATTTTTTAAAAAGTTGGATGTTTAAAAATATAAGACATTTTTAATCTTTTAAGATATAATTATTGTCTTTTTTTTAAAGTACCCCTATTGATGAATGACTTTATATTTATTATAGGGTATTTAATAAGAATAAATATGAAAATATAGGATTAGTTTAAAAGTAGGTAATTACTTTATTGAAAAGTGAAATTCAATTAAAAACGTCTTACATTTTTAAACAAAAGGAGTAGATTATTTATTTCATAATAAACTCTTGTAATTAATATTATTAATATATTAAAATTTACTTATTTTAATTTGAATGGATAAAAATATATTAAGTATATAAAAATAAATATCTAAATCTTGCCACACCACATATTCTTAGTTTTAATTATTCTAACAGACACATACCCCAACCATGTATTTTCGCTTTGTTGTTAGTTGTTACATTTAAAATCGAACCCAAAAATAACATGTGGTCAATCAAAAAGAACGTGATAAAGTAATAACAAAATGCTTTCAAACATCAAACAAAACGAGTAGAATAACAAGATGGAATCATCTAGAATTCCATTTAACGACCAGTTGACCTCTTCATACCAAAGTCACTATCAAGAAAATATTAAGTGTTTTATAATTGACATTTCAAGAGAAATTTTGAGCCTGGAATCAACATGGATAAAAAGGAGGAGGGGAAAAATAAAAAAAGATAGCAAGGAAGAGGAGGAATGAACCAATAAAGATCAAAATTTAATCCTATTTTTATATATATAAAAAAAAGTAATCCTATTTAATGCCAACAACACTTCAACTCCATTTAGGCGTTCCTAGTTGAAGAAGTCTGTTATCATAACGTCTTCAATATAAGACAATCTTAATCAAATTCACACTAGTTAACAAATGATAGTTATATTTTTAAAATTGTTAAAACAAAAATGGGACTTTTTAATTGTGTCCTTCTTTGCAATTAATAATCATAATAAATTATTATCTAAAAATTCAAACCATAATAAATAAATAAGGGTAAAATTTTAAAAATAATTACTCTAATTTTACTTTACATTAAACACTAAACAAAAAATTTAAAATTTGCCTCATCTTAAAGACGGGGTAGAGGATGTGTTCGTCATGACAGACAATTACTCCAACTTTCTGAGAGGAAGAGCTAAACTTCTTGAAAATGACCTATCTTAGCTAGCTCTCAGGTCTTTTTCTATCTATATCGAACAATTTCCCATCAATCTATATTCCAAATGACCGGTCCAGATGAAAGCGCTGAAGGATATTGCTGCAGAAATTGGAGTCACTTTGCAATTGCAGCAACACTCTAAATTGGCAAGAGCAGGAAAGCATCAAGTCTAGGAAAGCCAACTATCTTATGCATACAGAGAACACCAAACAGTTTCCAGCATGAACATTAATCAGATAACGAGATTTAGCAGAGTATAAACAGTGGTTTAAATATTGAAGAATTGGGAAAATCACATTACAATTACACTATCTGAACTAAAATAAATTACAAGATTAGTACATGCCACAGTGAACTTTAAACTAAAATGCAAACATTAAATTTCATTAAAATTAGGAGGGAAGGCAGCTCTTCCAATTAATTTCATTTTAGTTCAATATTCAAATAGGTGATTTGTTATATTTTGAAGTCTGTGTAACAGTTTTGTAATTAGACACATTAGTTCAATGATGTATAACAGTTGATTTTCCCTTGGAAATGTGGAAGAGAGAAATCAGATAATAATTTTCAGCTCTGCTGAACCTCATTTAAAGTCAACCAAATAATCAGAGAATAGAGTTAGTTTCCAGAAAATACATGGTAGATCATACAGTGAGGAAGGACAATATGAGTGATGAGTTGAACACTACAGGAAGGTTTTAAATGAATAAGCAAGAAAACACAACAGTCTGATGAAGCTGCAGAGAATCAACACTTCAGTGCCGAATTCATCTTCCTTACCAATGTGACAATCTCCAAGATATAATCTACAGAAGCCTTAATCTGACTGCATTATGTACCCTGTAAAAGTCATGAGAAGAACACATGATAAGTGTATATGAACTAGAAGACAATGTCAGGAAGTATCAACCAAGCACAAAGACGAGGAAAAAAAAAAATGGTGTAGATTATTCAGATTATATGATTTTCTTTTCCTTCTATTGGTCTCATTAACTTCACTACATTTTTCGTCAGTGCAGTCAGCTATTCTCTCTCTAGTTGTCTCAATGCCATATTTTATATTGGCCTCGTGCATTAAAAATCTAAGCATGAGAAGAATCTAATCCAAGTTATCAACTTGAAACAGTTAACCGTTATGGTTGATCAACTTACAGCGTGGGATTTATAAATAGTGCTCAACACCAAAGGAACACTGAAAACCGACCGAGCTGGTCTTAAGTCATAGTTGATAAGTTGTTGCATTAGAGTTTGTGGCAATGCTCAAAAGTCAAAACTCAAAACCATGATGTATTATGCATAATGATAAAATTTTGATGCATTTCCCCTTAGAATGTCAATGTATAAAGTAACATAATTGGAGGAAGAAATCTAAGACCAGTCCAGGATTCTAATGGCAAACCTATTATCACATATCGTTTTACTACAAGAAGAATGCCAGTGAAACAAATTATCTTCTCTTAAAAACTCCAAGCTTTGCTCACTTTATGATTGTCACGCTGCTACACTATAACCTTTCCCTGGCTAGGAAACCAGAAATGTGGTATGAAGATCCAAAAGTTACTATAGGTAAACGAGAATTGTCTGAGAAACAACTCACTACTCCTTTGTTTGAACTCTGAGAAGGTAATCCATAGTAGTAAGTAATCAGTAGGTTTTAAGTCTATCCGTTACCAAATAACAGTAAGACCAAGCAAAATGGTGAATCGAATGAATCACCATTTTAATTCAGCCTAAAAATCTCTCTATCCCTCAGAAAACTTTACAAATAGGTCATTCATCAAATTAATCCAAACGTTCTTTTTTGTCTTACTAATTACCTATTGTTCTAGAAGATGTTTTTTCCCCCTGTAGATGCTACACATTATTTGAAATAGATACACAAACAAAAAGCCGCATAAGTGCATTAATGGTCCTCAATTTGTGATCTCAATATTTAGATAAGATTAGTCAGTCCCAAAGGGAAATAGTGATATTTATATGTTCCAGTTATTCTGTGAACAATGTAAATACCAAGACTGAATGTGGTCAACACACTCGATTAAAGTCAGTCAAATCTCAGATTAATCCTTTGGAGGTTAAGCGACTATGAGACTACCCTAAAGCACTGACAAGCCTACCCTAACAAAGCAACAAACCATCCTACAGTAACAATCTATAAAACACAGTACTGGTTCTTCTAAAAGAATTGAGATCACTACAGTAATGCAATGCAACAACGATATTACAGTTCAAAGTCTTAAGATTGGTTTTAAAAAAAAAATAAAAGAAAAGAAAAAGAAGAAGGTTCACACGCATGATATATCTTTATTGAAGAACCTAGTAGTATATACCCCTAACAAATTTTAAGTTTTCATTTTCTTTTTTATTTTCCAGATATCAATAAGGGACATAATTTTAAAATGCATTTGAAATATCATACATTTAAGATTACACCAAGTTTCCACCACTCTGCTGCCACAAGTTGATGATATCGGTAGCTTGGTTGAGAAGAATAATCATTTGCTTTTGAGATATCCAGGGCTTGCTCTCCAGCAGCTCCTTGAGCTCTTCCCAAGCATCTTTCCTCGGCCAAAAGTAGTAAGGGCTTAGAGGAATGCTACCATGCCCCGGAATCATTTGATCCAGTGCAATGCCAATGTTTTTCTCCATCCAAATGAATTTTAACACAAGCCTTGGCCTGTCAGTTGGCTTCACCACCACTCCAAGTTTCTAAAACATCATCAACAGATAGAATGAATATGAGACTCGACACTGTAGCATGATAAAATATACTGTTTTTAATTAAAATTTGAAGCATGGTGGCTCTGGTTTCGAAATTTTCCGGCTCTTCCATTTTGTTTAGTTATGATGAAATTGTGATAAAGGAAAGGATTTCGATCTTGAAAAAGTATTGCATTTTGGTGCAATTTCTCAAGCTCTTTCACATTTGAGCCAAAAAGAAATTGCTTTTACACAAGTACATAGATCGCTATTATTTGAAATGGCAGGCTTAAATTAATGATCCATTCATTTATTCTATAGAAAAAAGATAATAACACCACAGATATAATTCGAAATTCCCCAAAATAAAAGAAAAATCCTTGGAACTTCACAAACATACCTGAGTCTGTGGAGTTACTGCAGGGATATTATCCAACTCCGTATCCTCATCAAGAGATTCTTCAGCTGTAGCTGCGGCGGCAGAGAGCCTAAATTTTTGGGGCGACGCATTAAGAAATAGATTTGAAGCGAATTGCTTGGGCTTTGTGAAAACGCAAGGTTTTATGCATGTAACCGAGGCGTTCGAAGATGAAAATGCAAGAGGCCTGAGGGAAGAAGCATGAAGGTTCGGTTGGACCGCCATGGATAACATCTTCTACCTAAGATAAAGAGATATATGAGAGAGAAAGGAAGAAAGAAGGGTCGATCTTAACAATTTCCGCAGTGTCGTGGAACCGTGCGAGGCGAACTGGAGAAGAAGATAAGGTCAGAATTACATTTGCCCAAGTAGACAACATAATAGTTATGGTTAGATTTCTAATTTTATTATATTTTTATTTGACTAATCTAAGTTAAATATATTTAATTATTTTAATAAAGATATTCTTAAATCTTAATTCAAATAAAAAGATATATTTTTTATTTTATTAATTTTGATTATCATTTTCTTAAAAAGACTTCTCAGGGACACAACTCGACTTATTGTTTTCTATTTGTTAATCAGTTATCTAATAAAAGCATAATGTTTAATTCTTGTTTTGAAAGGTTTCTTTTATATTTTTGAGAGATTTAATATTGCAATGTTAACTTGTAAATATTACGTATATGCATGAGGCTACTAATAAAGATAAACTAGGATATAGTCATAGAGATGATCATCAGAATTTTAATCTTCTTTGTAAAAATTATTTATTAAATTTTAATTAAGAATTCCATTAAATAATAGTGAGTGATTCAATTAGCATGTTAAGCTCTCAAGTTTTAAAAGTTCATTCTATACCTATAATAAATGAAAATAAAAATATCAAAAAAGAGAAAATAATTTTATAAATAAAAAACAAATGAAAGACTTTTATTGTTAAATAATAAAATAAAGGTACCTGTCAACTTTAAAAGTATCACCTAAAGAGTGTTAGGTATTCTAAAGTAATAAAAAAAGGCAATGTCACTCTCAAGTATTTAAAACAGTATAAGATAGACCTTTTTTAACTAATGAGTATAATTGACCTTAAATACAAAGTTTTAACCCAAACTTGTATAGCTAGCATGCCACCTGTGATGGAGGTGGCACAAGTTGGGTGATTGATGTGGCACTAATATGGAATAGATGCCACGTATATGAATCAATAAAATAGAACCCTAATGCTTCCTAAACTAAGAGAGTCACGATGACTTAGAAGTAAGGACCATAAAAGCTTGAAGAAGTTGATGGCAAGGTCGTCTTCATCAAGTGCGACAGCAAGCAACCAAAGGACTTCATCCATTAGAAGGAGGGCAACCATGTTGAGATTGGGTACTAAGGTAAGCTATAAAGGATCAAGAGGTATTGCCATTGTAGAGAGTTGGCCCCTAGATAGACTTCTTTGGGTGAGAATTGTTGAACTCTAGTTTTGATAATAATAAATTAGAGAGGATTTTGTTTCACACACACACATAATTGTTTAAAGGAAGGATATTTGAGGTATAAACATGTTGATTTGATATGATTTAATATTTGATTTTTGAATTTCCTAAGTATTATTATTGGTATTGTAATGAGACTACTGGTACTAATATGAATGCCTTCTAATTTAAAACCTTTGATTCTTTATTGTCATTATTGGTAGTGTTCTTAACAATACCCATATTCTCTTGAAGGCTTGTTTAATTTGTATCATATTACTTTGGGTAGTAAATACTGATATTAAGGTTAATTGTGATCATCCATCACTTAAGGTATCAGACCCTTTCTACCAGTATTCTTCTTAGAGTCAATTGTTCTTAAATTGCTTGGCACTACTGTATTAGTGTGTCTCTACAAGTACTATTACTACTTTTAGTATCTAGACACTTCCCCTAGTGTTTCTTATTCCATTCTTCTGGACTACTACCCACATTATATCATATACAACATTCTCAAATTCAAAATTTGGAATTTAAGGACATAGTAAGGGTAGACTAGCAAAATAACAAAATAAATTAAAGTTTATTGAGTTTTCGGATCACTAGTGTATTGTTGGAACCCAGGATGGCATTATAAGAAGGCTAGAATAGGTATCAAGCCAATTGAGCCTTAAAGAGAGGCCTAAATTCTCATTCAATCCATTGTGCCATCCACTATAGAAAATGCATTTTATATTGTTGAACCCTAATTTTAATTATTACAAAATAGAGAAGTTTTTTGTTTTGTAGGTAAATGTGTTTATTGGAAAATTAAGGAAGTTGAGTCTATGTGCTTAATATTTGACAACTTCCCGTTATTCTAAGGTCCTTTCATTTGTTCTAAATAATCCTTCTTTAAGACAAGTATTTGAGTCATCTCAATTTCCTTTGAATGGTTTCAGCATGTAGTTTAACTTGGTATCAAAATCATATGCTTCATTATAGTGGTATCTCACTTTTGTGCCAAAATATTTGTGACATACTGGTAACTATATTTCATACTAGCACCTTGGTTTCACACTTGTATGTCCTCTTTATTACCCTATGACCTTGTTTGTTCAATTCATAATGGTATCTCTTCTTTATACTTGTATATATTCTCCATGCCCATATATTTTCTACATATCCATATGATGTTCTTCAATATGCGTTCATAGTCATACCAATATCTCACTTTTATACCTATATATCTTTAAAGATTTTAGCTTTGTTGTACAATTCCTTTTATAGAGCATCTCAAAGCTATCTTATGTCTTAATCTATCTAGCAGCTAAGTGTTGTGTTCACTCTTTTACCTATCTATAATCCTTTTAAACACAACTATGAGTTAGATCAAACACTTATCCAATCTTTTGATTGATCTTTATACCCATATGTTTTCACTCTACTATCAGCCTCTTTTACCTTTTGTCAAAGCTTTTAATACATATACCTATTACTTTCCTTAAGTTGCCGATAACATGCAATATGCCAAAAAGCATTGTTTTATTAGCTTAATCTCCAGAAAACTTAGAAGGAAAGAGAATGGAGTCTTTAAAGGCCACATTAAAGAGTTTAATAGATATTTACCAAGCATCAATTATAAATATGACTCATGTATGAAGCAGGCACAGAGAAATTATTGCCTAACCATACATGTTCAATCTTTACCAACTTTGCTGTGATATTCATTGTTTATGAGCTTTAATGATTATAAATTTACTCTTTGAGAGGGTTTTTAATAGTAGTAATTTATTATTAAACTTACTCTATTTATCCCTATTTTATTCACTTGAAATAGAGGAACTTAAGCTTGAGAAATTTAAAAAGAATTTGAGATTTCCTTTATAAGGGAGAGAGTTACAAACTCAAGGAGGAGTTTAAATTGTAGCAAGAGTGAATTACTTTACATCTACGCCCCATTTTGAGTAGGTCTTAGCTTCACTTACTTTAATATGCTAATTTTCTCTCGTCAGTAGCATTTGAACCATACCCACACCTTGCTATTTGTTGTTCATACGCAACCTTAGCATAAGTAATCCATAATATACTCAAAATGGAGTCCAAATAAGGAAATGCACCTTTAATTGGATAGAGGAAGAGACCAAAGGGCAAGCAATGATAGATCGCTCATGTATCAACATCTAATAGGTCATTTCACTCGCTTTCAAGAGAAGAAAGAAATAAGTTCAAGTCCTCACATTCGAATTTTGTTAATGTAATTCAATCGTCACTTGAGTATAAAACAATAAAGAAGGCGGCCAACGTGACTAGGGTTGATCTCAAAATTCAATACAAAAGATTTAGATTTTCCTTATAGGAATGGAAAGTTGCAGCTTAATCTTAATAGAGATACGCGTTAGATGTGCAAAATTTTGGTTACATGAAACGTGTTGGAGAGTCTAAAATAGAGAGGGAAAAGAAGAGGAACATGAGAGGTGATAAAGAGGAGATATTTGGCTTCATCATTTGACCTAGTTGGAGGCATTCTAAGCTAGAGAAATACTTGGATAAGCTTCTTAACCCTCCTCCCTCTTCTCATTTCAAATTGGCAATAGGTTTGGGTGTGGTTAGATGAATATTTCATCCCTCCTTGGGTTTAAACTAAACCCATTGAGTTCTTGGTGACTATAAGGAGTTAATTCAAGTTTTTATACTTATGTTTAGTTATTTTATTATGATTGGGAGTTTTAGACTAAGGTTTGGATGAACCTTGAGCTTAAAATGAAAATTCGGGAATAATGTACACTATAATTTAATGTTGTTTAACTTTATAGAAAATAAATGAAGCTAATAGAAGATTGTTAGAGCCTTGATTGAGCTAACTGTAAAAATTAGATAATATAGGTAACTTTTGTTACCCTAAAAAGTATGTAAAATATAGTTGTAAATTAATGATTAGTATTTAATCATGCAAATTAATTGTTATTCAAATGTTTGAACTAGTGGAAGCTAGAGGAGTAATTATTTTGCCACAAGTGACCTTTTTTGTCACAAGAATTGAAATAAACAGATAATCTAATCCTTTTACTTGCTTAATAGGATAGTTGAGTTTTGTGAAATGATTGTATTGTTTTAATATGTAATTTAAAACAATAAAAGTATGTTTGTGATTCTAGAAACCTATGAGAAGTGAGAATGATTTGAAAATATGTTTACATACACACACATGTTATTGTAAAAATGGTTTTTATACTTGAATAATGCTAGTATAGGGTGTTAAGCAAGATATTGTATAATATGATTATTTATGTTTAGGATCTATGCATGACTTGTTATGATAAATGTGTTGCATGATGATATTATGAAAGAGTGGGAGTTCACCCTAAGGGAGTATGATTATAAATCCATATGGCACTTACTGGCATTTTAGGTGGCCCCCATGCTTAGTCTTTCTTGTTTGGAAGTGTTAGTACTATTATTGAGGTAAATTGGGCATAAGATATCGTGAGTATTCATAAAGGGTGAATATGTGATCTGAGAATAGGTAAAGGTGCCGTTGGCTAAATTGCCTCCCATAATTGGTGAGTTTAGGCTAGTCTAGTTACACAAAATTAGTCCTATTGAATTATTAACCCATAGATTTAGTCGGAGCTAAAACAAAGGTTATAAGGCAAGTGTGGCTAATCATGTATTATCTAGATGAGAACATGTCTGGTTGTGCGTTTACTAATTATATATTTATATTGCTCACTTTACATGCTCATTTACTTTTCTAACTTAGTTATTAAGACATTATTCTCACTCTTATGGTTATTGTTTTACAGGTGAAGGCTCCTTTAAGGGCAACAAGGATAGCAATGCTAGCAAGGAGTAGGAGAGTTTCTTGTTATAATACACAATTTTATTTAATGTGTAGTTATATATATATATATATATATATATATGACATTGCCAACTTAGAACAATCATTCTTTTGGATTGCACTTCATGACTTTATCTATGTTCTTTTGTGTACTTTGGCCTAAAAGATGTTTAAGTAATGAATGTATTGGGAGAGGCTGAAATACTAATGCAAGCATATTATTACTAATTTGTATATTTTTGCTATTGGCCATTGTGATGATATTGGGAATTTTGTCATTGTGCTCCAATTTGAGTGTTAAGTAAGGGGTTTGGTGGCCAATTTGTGATTTGAATGTTTTGTTTAAGTATGTGACTATTGCATTAGGTGTATTTTAACCCGTATGAGTTGGTTTAAGTACTTCTTGAGCTATTAGCACTTGAGTTGAGAGTTTAGACATCCTTGAGATTATTTAAAAAGTAAAAGTGATTTTTTTTGTATTCGAGTATCCAATTTTTAAATACGATCACAGAAGTTTGGTGAGAAATTGAATACTTAAATTCACGTAATAACTCTTCTACATCTATTTTCATAAATGTTCCTATAGTTGGAGTCAATTAATAATTCGTTAGACACATTTAATTAGCCACTAGATTCTTCATTTTCTTTCCTTATGAGTTTCTCCAGAAATGAGGCAATGGCAAAGTGCTTTTTAGTGGAGTTGCATTCTCATGACAAGTAAGAAAAGTATTGGCTATATGCATTTATTGCTCTAACAAAAGGTAAGTAAGTTAATACTTATACAGCCAAATGCTATATGGGTATAAAGGATAAGGATAGATTTGAAATATGAAGGTGCTAAGTAAAAATGAAAACACAACACTTGAAATATGAAGGTGCTAAGTAACAAGCGAAATTCAAAACTCACAAGTTGTGGAACATTAAACAGAGAATGTTTCTTCATGTTTGTACTTGTATAAACATTCATTGTACTGGTATAAGCAAAAATATTTTAAGAAGAAGTGCAAGTTATAGTATATGTATAAAAGAATTATATTGAAATAGACAGTGATTATAAGTACATTATATAGGAATAGAAGGAACCTGTACCCCGATAAGTATGTTTGTACCCATATAAGATGGCTATGCCTGAATAAATTGGTCATACTAGAATAGTAGTCTAAAGTAAAGCTTAAGGAAACAATAGGTCACTATATCAATAAAAGAGAAGTTTCAAGGAAATAAGGCCACTGTACTGGTATAATAAATACCTATACCAATATAAGGAGTGAAGGAATGAAGAATGTACTTATACTAATGGAAAGGTTTATGTGGAAATAAGAGATCACGATATCAATATAAACACAATTATTCCAATATAAGGGAATAACACAAACAAAGAAGTTACAGTGCTTAAAGATGATGAAAGAGAGATTATATTCAACTGAAATGCTTCTCAAATAACTTCAAGATAAGGAACGAATTAGACTCAAGAAAGATTTTGAAAGAAATCAAATACTTAATTAAAAAAAATATCATATAATCAAGACTTAGAGATTGAGGAGATTCGTAATTATTTCTTTATAAGCAACATAGTTTGGGTATAAGGATAAAGAAAAATTAGAGAAATAGAGTTTAAAGCATATGAGTCCAATTACCCTTAATTGCCATTAAACATCATTAAATTTTTATTATAAAATACAATATTCTCTATAAGGACAAACAAAAATTAGAGAAATAGAGTTTAAAGCATATGAGTCCAATTACTCTTAATTGCCATTAAACATCATTAAATGTTATTATAAAACACAATATTCTCTATTTTGTGATTATCAAAATTAGGATTCAACACTGAAAAAAAAATACAACTTAGGGTTTTAGAAGTCAAAGATTCAAATCCTTACTACTCAATCGCGACAGAATATTCCTCAATCACATGCATCGCACTTCTCTTGCTTTCCTCTAACCTCCTGGCAAACTTAGTTGCAGACTTGCGGTGGTCCTTAGCCTTCGCCTCTCTTCGAATTTTGTAAGTTTACAAATAATGTAGGGTTAGGGTTCTATTTTTATGTTTCATATACGTGGCATTTGCACCAAGCGAATGCCATGTCAATGACTCAATTTGTGCTAGCCCCATCTCACGTGGTGTGCCAACTGAGCAAGTCTAGGTCAAAACTTTTCATTTAACGATTAGCATTACCCATAAGTTAAAACAGTCCACATTACACTTTTTCAAATATTTGGAGGGCAATATTGTCCTTTTTATTACTTTAAGATACCTGATGCACTTGTAGTGATACTTTTAAAACAGATATGCACTTTTGTCCTAAATGATATCAGTTAAAGTACATACCCATGAAGCTACACTTAAAAAACTTAGCTATAAGTTTAACACAAGCACTTAAATTTAAATTTCAAAATTTTTAATTTAAATTTCAAAATTTAAATAAACATTTAAAAAAAAGAAGAGTTTTTTTGTTCTTGGAAGAGCTTTAATTTAAATTTCAAGATCTCTATAAACATTTAAAAAAAGAAGAGTTTTTTTTTGGAAGAGCTTAAATTTAAATTTTAAAATCTGTATAAACATTTCAAAAAAAAAAAAAGGAATTGAGTAAAACATTTGTTACCAAGATTCAATTTAGTGAACACTTAAACTAAACAAATCTAATTAATTCCTTATCAAGAATCATGAATTAAATTATCTAAAATATACTCCTTTGCTTTTAAACATAAAAGCTAGAAAACTAACTTAAAGAGATTAAAAAAAATTAGCTAGTTATTTGTAAAAACGAATCCCATATAAAAATATTCATTTAATATGTTCAATCAAGGAGAGATAATTAAGGGAAAAAATATAAATTTGTAAGACAAAGCGAATAGAGATCTTACATTTAAAATTAAAACAAACCTCCCAACTAGCTCCAACATTTAGCAACTAAGGGAGTACTTAAATGAACTATGCAAAATTCAATTTGTAGAACCAGAATCTGGAATCCACCTTATCATATTAGACTTCTAGAAGCTGATCTATTGGATCTTGATTCCTCTCAAACTACTCAGCACAAACAGATTTAAGTCGTCTTCTAAGACCATGCCTCAACATGATATTTACCACTTTTTCTAGATCCCTAAACCACCTCAAAGCAGCATCCTTTGACACCCCACTTTCTTTACAGACAATTTCCTCCAAAGCTGATGATACATCTGCTGGCATTTTGGTTGAAGAACCTGCTATATAAATAGCAGCTCCATCAGCTAACAGATTCCAGATCCTTTGGCTCTGTTCATGCATCTTATGCTGAACATAAACCTTTTGAGGTTGGTCTCTTGAGAAAGCAACATAGAAACCACCACCCCTTGTTTCTGAGAGCACGCCGTCATTTTGTGAATGAGACAACCAGAAGTCCCGGTACAGAAAGTCGCCGTCTTCATTTCGACAGCCAAAGAAAAAAATAATTGGTGCGGTTGAACTAGTTCTGCTTTGTGATGCTCTTTCCTCCACAAATCCACGGAAAGGTGCACAACCAGTCCCAGGTCCAATGAGTGCCAGTGGAAGTGATGGTGATGGAGGAGGAAGAGAACCTTCATGAATCCAACCTGGAATGTAGATGGCTGCATAAAACGAAAATAAATAAGCACATAAATAAGTAAATAAATGGCTTCTTCACAAGAGTACTCCCTTCGATTTTTATAATAAGAGAAATTATCACATGCTTCATTGCTTTTTTTTATAAGCTAAACTACAAAATTCAAGAAATATTTATCATTTTTTCCCCAAATTGCCCGTCATAAAATCAGAATTTATTTTTACAAGACAAGTTCAATTCCTCCACATGCTAAAGATTAACTAACTATAAGAACATTTTAATCCAAATTTTTAATTTTAGACATGCTTACCCAACTTTCTTAAACTGTATGAGTACAGAGAGATCCATATATGTTTTTTCTCTTTTTTTTTTCTTTTTTGGTGTTCTTACCATCTTTGGGATCTAGTGAAGCTAGCCATGAGGAGCATAGGCCTTTCTTCTTCCTTTTGTAAGGTGTTGTCCAAGATACCACATTCACAGTCAAGTGTACTTGATTGGGATGAGCTGATTGAGAAGAAGAAATGGAGAATGCTCTAGTTTTCAGTGGAGGAACCAACTGCACTAGCCACTCAAATGGCATTTGTACTGAAGGAAAATCTTCCAACACCTGCTTTTTTTTTTAAAAAAAAAAAGGAATATTATTTAAAACAGATAATTAGATATAAAAGAGGAAAAGAAAATTGCAGATACTCAGAAACTACTTAAATTACTTTTATATGGATTCCAAGTTATCATAGATTCGAAATAAATAATACAAGGCATTGAACCAAAAATATCCAGTAAGTGGATGGTTTTAATTTCAGCTTTGAAATGTCAAGCTTTATCCCAGGAATAACCTCGTAAGGTTATGAAACTATTTAAGATATAAATAGAACAGTTTTTTATCCCAAAAAAAAAAGAACAGTTCAGACATTCAAATCATTCATTCTTTTTAACTCCCACAAAATTATTCTGGCAACAATAAGAATAATGCTACATCAGGATAGTTAAGGTGATTGCAAAACAAATTACAAGATTGAGGAATGAGACACTTTAAACTACATGAGGAGGGTAAACAATCTGAATTCAGGCTAAACCCCAGGGGGATAATGTACTTACCCACCCACACCCCCCCCCAAAAAAAAAAAAAAAACCCACCAAAAAAAAAAATCCATCCCATAAGTTTTAAATCTTTTTTAAGATAATCATACAGAGACAATTAAAGTAACACATGCCCAGTCCTATACAGTTATCAACTCAGAAGCATCGATACACGAAAATGGCCGGTGTGTCCATGTCGGATATGTATCCGACACAGACACGCGTTCAGGATGCGGAAACAGCGTGTTTTCACTTCTCACTTTGCACACTGCCTCACTGTCTGAACTCTGCCTCAGCATCTTCGACCGTCATCGTTCTTCAGTCTTCAGCTTCAATCTTGGTAATTTATTCAGTTCTTCACGTATCGGTGCGCTGAGCCTGAGCATCTCTATCTCTTCTGCTCTTCACTTCTTTTATTGTTCAATGCTGTGCTGCTGCCTGCTGGATATTTATTGGTATTATTGTATTGCTGGATAATGAATATTTATTGCTCAATGCTTCACTGCTGAACCGAGAGAGGCAGAGCAACCTGATCAGTTTTTCCAATTTAATACTGAATTACTGATTTAAACTTTTTTATTTAGATGGATTATTTTGTTGAGTTAAACATTGATTTATTTTAAATTTTTATTGACTCTCTTCATGTTAAAATTGCAGGATATTGTTTAAAATTAAACCTGTAATGGCTTCTAATTCTAGACCTGGTAATAGTTCAGGAAGTGTGAGTTCTCAATTTCAATCTAGTAATGAAAGACAGAAAGAGAGTACTCCTTTACGGGCTTATGTAACTTTGGTTCCTCAAGAAAATGAAGGGGAAGGTGGGAATGGAAGTTGGAAGTGTAACTATTATAATAACCAATATAATGGCTCTTATTCTAGAGTTAAATTTCATTTGTTGAGGATCTCTGAAAAGGGTATTGCTATATGCCTGAAAGTTGATGATAGTTGTTTAGAAGAAATGCGAAAAGCTCAAGAGGAGGCTGAGAATAGAACAAAACTAAAACATGTGTCATTGCCAACTTCAACTGAGAGCTTATCTCCTTTATGTCAAAAGGGTTCTATCCTTATTCAAAGTGAACACAATCAGGGAAAAAGAAGGCAACAAATACAATAGAAAGAGCTTTCCAACAAGGAGCTAGAAATAATTTAACTGCTGAAATTGCTAGAATGTTCTATTTGGCTGACTTGTCTTTCAATTTGGCACGTAACCCATATTTTATTAGTGCATTTCAATATACTGCCAATAATGTAATGCCTGGTTTTAAACCTCCTGGTTATAATGCATTAAGATCTACTTTGTTGCAAAAAGAAAGGGCCAATGTTGAAAGGCAACTTGAATCAATCAAAGAGACTTGGAATCATAAGGGGGTAAATATAGTTACGAATGGTTAGACAGATGTACAAAGAAAGCCATTAATTAGTTTTATGGCTGTAAGTGATGGAAGCCCCATGTTTTTGAAGGCAATTGATGCAACTAGTGAGTATAAAGATAGATTTTACATGGCTGACTTGATAAAAAAAGTGATTGAAGAAGTGGAGCCTCATAAAGTTATTCAAGTAATCACTAATAATGCACCTGTTTGTAAATCTGCTGGTAAGATGTTGGAAGATGAATATCCTCACATCTTTTGGACACCACGTGTGATGCATACACTTAATTTTGCCTTGAAGAATATATGTGCAGCAAAAAATACAGAGGCAAATGAAATTGTTTATGGAGAATGCCGTTGGATCACTAAGGTGAGGGATGATGCAGTCTTCATCCAAACATTTATCATGAATCATTCTATGAGATTGGCCATGTTTAATAAATTTGTGCCATTAAAGTTACTTGCAATAGCTGAAACAAGATTTACATCAACAATTGTGATGTTGAAGAGATTCAAACTTATCAAAACTTCTCTTCATACATAGGTTATTAGTGAAGAATGGAATGCTTATAGAGATGATGATGTTGGAAAGGCTGCTACTGTAAAGGACATAATTCTTAATGATCTTTGGTGGGAGAAGGTTGATTATATTCTCTCTTTCACTAAACCAATTTATGATATGTTGAGATTTGCTGACACAGATAGACCCACACTTCATTTAATTTATGAGATATAGGACTCAATGATAGAGCAAATCAAGGAATCAATTTATAAGCATGAGCGAAAATCACTTTCTAAGTACTCTTCATTCTAAGAAGTTGTTTATAACAACATCATTGATCGATGGACAAAGAGTGCCACTCTACTACATTATCTTGCCCACTCACTGAATCCTAGGTGTGTTATTCTTATTTTTTATCATGAAATTCTTTTCTTTATCATTTTTACATCACAACTCCAATTGATGTTATTATATTATTGTATGTATTATACAACATAATGGCTTGAAGGTGGACCAAATAAAGTCTCTCCACATAGAGATGCTGAAATATCAACTGAGAGAAAAAAGTGCTTTAGAAGGATGTGTTCAGATGAAGAAGAGAGGAAATTGGTTGTGAATGAATTTTAAAAGTTTTTTGGATGTTCAAATGAGTTCTTTTTTGTTGATTCCATACAAGATAGATCGATATTAGAGCCTAAGGTTTGATGGAGCAATCATGGTGTTGATGCTCCCAAACTTCAAGGGACTGCATTGAAACTTCTCAATCAACCATGCTCATCATCTTGTTGTGAAAAAAATTGGAGCACTTACTCTTTTGTTCATTTACTAAAGAGAAACAAGATGCTTCCAAAAAGAGTAGAGAACTTAATTTTTTGTTCATTCAAATCTTCGTCTTCTTTCAAGAAAGAGTGAGAAGTATTCCACTAGAGAAAGTAGATTGTAGGATATTGTTGGGAAATAAATGATGTTGAAAATCTTGAAGTTGCAAGTTTATCTCTAGATGAGCCAATTTTGGAGAGAGAAATTATAGGAGAAAGTGGTGGTGTGAATGAAGATGGGGAAGATTAGAATTACTTTAAGTTGATAATTATCTTTTGCCACTTGATAGTGTTTAAGTACTTAACTACTTATTGTATTATATTTTGTGATGGCATTAGACATCTTGAAATTGTATTTTTAGACATCCAAATATTTAATATTTAATTATTTATATAGCCATACACATATTCTAAAATTTTGAAAAATAGCCGTGTCCGCATATCGTATCGTATCGTACCCGACACTCGTACCCATATCGGTGCTTCTTAGGTTATCAAGCATGACCAAAGTTCAAGAACCACCTACTTCTTAATTACTCATTCAACAATTCATCTCCATTTGTCTTCAGTTTTAGCTCTGTCTATTTAACATCAAAAGACAACTCTTAAACATACCTTAATACCAAACAAATATGGAACAATGCAAAAGATTAGGAAGAAAAATATCATATGAAATTTATCCAAAAAAAAGGAAAAAAGGAAAAAGTACATATGAAAGCCAGCTAAAAAAATTGTGCCAATAAGCAAGGGAAGACTCAAGGAAAATCATGTATCACGACTTGTTAATTTTACCTCGAGAACAGTTCTCCGCTCCTTCTGGTTGTACTGATAGAGGTCTTCTCTTCCTTCAGGTGAAGCAAAATATTTAAGCCGTTCCCTCTCATGTTCCGTCGTAGCAAAATAACTCATGATCTTGAATTAATAATTAATAAATGATTAATATGTAAGTACTTACTGCAGAACGTTACACATATGTCCATGTAGAAAGCATGACTTTACTAGATTTTATGAAGAAAAAATGTAATCAAGAAAACATCTACAATAATCATGCATCCTTTCCTTCAGGACCTTATAAAGTTAAAACTTAAGAAAGCATCATGCGTCAGACTAAAGTCCATGATGAATATACAATCATAAAGGTAAAATAGAACTACTGTGTCCCTGAAGGGAAAATAGAGGGACAGAACATTCAACAACAGGGTATAACGGCTTCTTTGCAATATTAATACTGACATTTAAAAAAAAAAAAAAGTGAAGGCTTCTTTGTTACTCTGGATAGAAAAGTAAAGGCTACCAATAGCATTCCTTATCTCTTTCATTTGCCCCTCTCATCAAATGCTTAAACATAGTACCTTCCGTACATCAACCTGAACCCCAAAGCTAAAATTGAGACACAACTAAGAGAAGGGCAAAATGGTGAAGCTGAAGATAGTTAAAAAGCATACTGGATCTTGCCTCAAAGAAATATCGTCGAGGGGAAGCTGAAGATACATCCATTGTCAATTCCACAAAAGTATTCAACCTTATCGGGATTTTAGAGACATGTGCACCACAATTATTCATTTCTCTGGGACTGACCTGAAATTAATGAAATTGCTTATAAGAAAATAACAGAACTATGCATATTCACATAATTGTGTATGCATTGAAATGGAACAATCGTGTAGATATATCATAGAAAGAATAATGATTTTGTTAGAAAAAGCCAATAAGCTGAAAGCCAGTACAAAGTTAAACACACTAAATTATTTTAATATTCCCAAAAAGAACAATTTGAAAATTAATTTTCAACTTTTACAAGGAACTCAAAACAGATTCTTATTATTTTTCCAGTTCATAACACAGAATCACTAAATCAGTCCCAGAAAAACCTTAGAGCAATTTAAAAAAAAAAAAAATCTATAGTGCATCCATGAAAGTTCATTGTAGCTGATCACATATGTCAATTGTCTAATGATACCATTGAAGGATGCATATATGGAAATACTAGTACACATGGGGCAACTTAGTGGGAACTCAGTGCAAATGTCCAAGAATCTCATGTATACAAGAATTACAATATTCTCAAACATAACATAAAGCACTCACAGTAATAAATGAATCAGGATTTAATTTACAGCGCTGTATAAAAGCATCAACTGCAGCGGCATCTTGACTGGGGAGAATTTCAAGGACATCACCAACGTCATATTCAATAACCTAAGGAAAATCATAAATGCATCATTTACTTCAAATGAGGAAGCTGAATAACCTTGAGCTATTTATCACATGAAGTAAAATCAATTTGAAGTAGAAGTAAACAATGTACCAAAGTAAGCAAAGATGTATAGATAAATAAATAGATAGATAAATCATATATAAATGCGCTAAAAAAAAATCCAAATTCCATGTTATACAAACATATACACCAAGGTTATAGATAACGAGAGAGCTTACATGTGAAACAAATTCAAATTCAAAGTGACGGACATCTTTTCCGCAGTTTGATTTGGTCAAAGGAAGATTCTTTACCTACACAATCGTGAAATAATACAAGAGATAAAGGATGCATTGGCAGAGCAATTTGAATACATACAGCAACTGAGACCGCAATTACATATATCTACTAATATCTATCACTAAAGTTGAACCACTTCACACAAGATTAGACATATTTAAGCAAATATCACAAAAGAGCTAATGAACTAATCAATTTATAATATAAGTAGGATCATGCACTATGTATGAAACAGATTGGACAATGCACAGTCACACAACAACCTAGATATTGATCACATCATTTGCTTTTAAATAGAAATGGGAAAATTCTACTTATAGCAATAACTCCAGAAAATCTATGATAGTTTCATATCCAATACCATCTTAAGAAAGCAGCCAGGCCTACTTCTGTCAGGATGGGATGTGCCAGGATGCATCGAACGAGCATCTCCAATTTGAATCTCATTATACTTTAAATCTGGGGAGGAAACCACAAATATACATTGGCAAATTTAATAAGATCTACCGAGGTTCCATTACAAAGGGAACAAAAAAGGTGTAGCTCGAAATAAACTCATCACAAGTGCATCTCTGTTAAGTAGGAGAGAAATTAAAAGACAAAATGCTGCTAGAGATAATAGAGCCAGAATCTAAAAACCTAAGACAAGTATCTCTGGCACAAGTAATTACAAGAACTAGTTGCCTAAGACTTTGCATACAAGTATTTATAATACAAACCTGGATAACTAAAGAGCTAACTGACACAAAACAAAGACATGAAACTACAATTGACACATATTGGAATAACTGAAGCTTAGTGGTTTTGAACACAACTTCATAACTTCCCCACTAAAATAGTTATGCTGAGGCCCTAGTAATTTTGACCGTTTGCTTCTCCACTGTAAGGAAGGAGAGGTTGCTATACACATCATCTCTTGTCAATCTCAAACCCATAGAACCATGCTTAATATAAAGAACAGAAAATCAATTATTTACAATAAAGAAAGGCACTTCAAGATAGCATACTTTTTCCTACAAAAGATGAAAAATGCATCAATAAGAAATATACAAATGTGGATGGTAGTGTATTGTCCCAAAGAAAAACAGCAAACACATGATAGTGTAAAAGCTCATATGATGAAGAGGTTATACTTTATACAATACTAACCAATGCTTCTTAGACTATCATGCCTTACCTTAAATGGGGCATCAAACAAAGCTTAAGTCTTAAGGGAACATTGCAAGTCAGCAAAGAGTTTAATAATTTGTTACCTGAAGCAGTAGAAATTTGGAACTCCACATTGTCAGTGTTGTGATATGTGATTTGAACTTTTGGCTGATCAATTAATGTTTCATCTGGTATCATGATATCAGCACCGTTGGGGAAGAATTCAGGTTTTATTACACTTAACACTCTCCATAGAGATGACATCCAAGGATCCAGAGCACCTTCGTAGCTGCGAAAGAGTATACAGCTAGATAAAAATAATTCACTCATTTTTAAACTTTTTTCTAATAGAAATGATTACTAACATTCAAACAGAAGTATACAAGATCCAATTGGAGGTTCAAATTCCCTCCATCATTCACAGGCAAAAAGGTAATTGTTTCAACCAAATCAAACAAAACTCTCTGAATTGACAGCATATTACAAAATCTTACCCTGAGGGGTGTTGATCATCTCCCAAGCCTCTTTCTAAAATAGTTCTTCCACCAAGATCCATTAATCTTTTGTCAAGCTTCTTTGCAACAAACTGAAATTTCGGGTTACATTTTTTCCAGAAGATGAAAATTAAATATCAAAGCACATACACCAAGATTAATAGCCATATTTTCATCAAATTGCAGTACTAGAATTACTCAATTGAAGTGATATTCACAATCAACAGATTTTTATGACAACACAAATTACCAGAATTAAGATGCACATGCACTTAGGGGGTGGAACAAGCATCACTCTTAAGTCTTCAATATTATGTTAGTTTATATTTATCTACGGGATGGAACACAATACTATCCCAACAAAAACATGCGGTATACCACAAACAATTATTTAGATAAGTAAATCAATGTCCTTACATTGTATTTCAGGTATCCTGAATCACCCAAACCAAATACAGCATAAGGAATGCCGTTCAGCCAATGCTTGTTCAGGTTTTTCTGCAAAAGATGCCTCCAAAAGACCTGCATAGTCAAAAAAATAAATAAGCAAGGAAAAAAGTCAACTAGGCAAATGAAAATTAATTCCTGACTCCACCTTATCACTTGCATGCCACTAAAACAACAAAGAAATAAAAGATACTTTTAATTAACCTTCATGGAATCTGGTGTGTCCCCCTGGCCTGTGGTTGAAACCACAAAAATCACAGCCTCCTCCTTGGGTAATAAGCTCTGTGAACAAATATTTTTGGATAAAATAGAATTTGTATTAAAAAGAGCGACCACTTGTCCTCCTAAAGAAAATGAAATTAAGATAAAGAAATAGAGTCATCAACATGTAACATGCCATTTGGATAAAGGACAGGCAAGCCCTTAAAGAAACTATAAGCTGAACACTAGTGAGAGGTTACAAACATAATCTGATTATATAAGATTAAAGGCAACAGAGCAGCCTTACAGCTGTAGGCATTCTGCTCCAGCCAAATGCTAAGAGAACACAAAGCCTTGTGATCTTTTTTTTCATCCTAAAAACAAGCCAGACAAACAGCTCTAATTGGTGCAAAGCAGTTTTATTCCATGTGAAAACTGTCACCCAAGAATCAGAATCAATGTAAATGAGCAACATTTTCAGAACCATACAAACACATAACACAATATATATTAGGGGAAATGGCTGTGTTAGGTGAGTGAAAGTTAAATATAACATTAGTATCAATTCTATTGAGTACCACATAATTGGCAGTCCCTATTCACCCCAAACAAGAAAAAATATATATATACGTAGTATTCCCTCAAAATACATGAGCAACGCACCAACGAGACAATAAAAGCAATCTTGTGCCATGGTCCAATATGAAAGGATAAAAAGAAACCACAGGCTATTGGCTATTCCATTCCCATGATGCAATTAGAGTTGCATAAACCCCACAATGCCACAAAAATTTGGCCTCCTTATAAATGAAACCAATATTACTCACATTAATTCCGTCATGCATGAGATGCATTGAATATAAATGACATGACAACTACAATGAAAAAACTTGAAGACGCTGATCTTTCAAAAGCTTTGCAGTAATTAAATTCAAGCATCAATAACTAAGAATTTACACTTGAAGGCCAAAGGGGAAGCATTTTCTCCACGCCTACACCCGGCCATTTTTACCTCACCCTGCCAGAGTTTTAGCACCCTGCAATTTCGTCTATGGGATGCAAATAGAAAGCAACTCACAGGATCATATCCGTCCATAGAATGAAGCTTGACAGGGCAGCCTCTTCGTTCAGCTTCGCGACTAAGCCGCTCCGCTGCATCCAATGCATTTCCAGTCTGAGTAGCATATAGAATCAGCAGCTTTGACCTGTCTTCCATGACAAAGAATCCTCCACAACCCAAACAAAAAATTATATACTGAACGAGCACAAGCTTATTCCGAGGAGTCAAAAGGTTTTGAATTTGATCTGGGTAGTGATGAAGAGCCTGATGGGGGGGGGGAGGTAAGGAAATGGTTTGAAATACGGACTGAGTATAACCCGGGAGGAAAATATGGGAGCTGTATCTGAATAGATGAACTGGGATTGGAGGCAAAAAGATATTCAAATTGTGACTTGTGGAGACTGCACAAGAAGGAAATGTATAGTAGGGATTTGAAAGGGGTCAATTTACAGGCTCCACTGCGTGAGGACGATCAACATCCAAATCGCATTCGCGGACTGAAAATAATGGCGGCAGTTCCAAACTTCTTCCAGAGAGTTTCGTTTTTTTTTCCCCCAACAAACAAGGGAGAGGAAAAAAAGTTTATATTGTTTTCAAATAAATAACTTTTTAGTTAGTACTTATGATTCATGTCAAATTTTAAAACAGTCCCTGTACTTTTGATTTTTGTAATTAAATCGTCATAAAATGTTTCAATTAGCAACTTTCTCGCTCTTCTGCCACAATTAAAAGACATTATTAAAATTTGAGTTTTTAGAAAAATTGGTTAAAATGTGATCTTTTCTATAAAAAAATTCACATATTTCCAATCATACATTTGAAATAAATATAATATTTAATTTATTCAAAATACCTCATTAATTATTTGAGTAGAATATAATAAAATAAAAAGTATAATTAAAATATATGTGTGTGTATGTATATTTCAAAACTTAATATAATAACTGATATATACACATACATAAATATATATGTGTGTGTATCCAGTATTCTTTAGTTTGAATCAAGCTGTGTTTCAAATGTTGTACTCTTTTTGTTTAAAAATATAATGCATTTTTAACCGAATCTACTTTTAGTTACTTATTTTCAAACTAACCTTATCTTTTTTATATTTACCTCTATTAAACACCCTATAATAAATATAAAGTCATTATCAATAAGGACACTTTTAAAGAAAAGATAATGATTACACCTCGAAAGAATAAAAATATCTTATATTTTTTAATATTTAATTCCTCAACAAATGTCTTATATTTTTAAACAGAAGCAATATATTATAAGTTGAAAGAAGTAGATATTTATTTTATCGTTGATACCAATATCCAAAGAATATGGAGAATGTCGAGGATACAATACAACCAGTGGCACACAAAGTGATATTAGCATATACATCAACTAGCTACGCAAAATCATGCCACATAAGCATAATTAACTTAATTTGTATAGATCAACACCATTAACTTATTTAACAAGCTTCAGGGACCAATTAAAAATAAACCTTGGAGACCTTGACCAGCATTGACCAAAATTATGAGGTAAAAAAACTTACTATTCCCAAAGTTTTATTAAATAATATTTAAATTGTTTTAACTAAATTTAGGTAATTTTAATTTTATTTTTTTCCCACTACATTTTAAATTGTTTTAACTAAATTTAACTAATTTTAATTTTATAATTTTTTACACTACATTCAATGAAAAAATCAAGCCAACAATGTTCGGGCCATGGCTTCCTCAAAGCCATGAGGCAGCACAGTTCAACCCAGGATAAGGATAAGGATTAAAAATTTTGGTCCTTCATTGTAATTTTCTTTAAAAAAAATGCAGACTCAACTTTTGGTCTAGGAAAAAAAAATAGAGACAATTAAATACAATTCTCACATAAAAAAAATTAATTATTATAAAATTCAGTGACTGAATTAAAGTATTAACAATTTAATTATTAATTAACTTTATAATAATTAATTTTTTAAAAAAATAAGTGGCTACCTGCAAGTCTCCTAGCCAGTCAATAGGCCTCCAATGATGGGCTGGCCGACGGCAACAAGTCTTAGACAAGGACAATTTGGTAACAGGGAAATTTGTTTAATTACAATTAAAGGCCATGATTTTTATTGAAATTTCAATATTGACATCGTTATGTGACCTTTATTTGTCATGTTCCCTATAAACTTTTCTACCTACCAATAGGGACAGCCCAAAAGTTTTGGCATTAGAATTGTATGTTGCGAAAGGGGTATGATTGTTGTAGAATTAAAAGGAAAGGGTAATTTAGTCATGAAAGTTAGAAAATGATGAAAGCTATGATTGAACAAGTAATTAAGCATAAAACACATCAATGAACTCCAAACCTCGACAATTTACACGATCGAATTGCTTGCCGTGGCCCTAACAAGTAACAACAAACAATAATACACTGAAAAAATTACCATACAAATGATGTAATACAAAATCTTGCATGCTTGAATTGAATTGACATGTCTATACGCCATATGGTGTCCAGTGATCCGTAAGTCATTCTTGTTTCGGACTATATTCGCTTTCTACACGACTATCACCCTTATTCTGTTGCTGATCACAGCCCTTGCTTTCATTTATATCGTTTTCCAGGACATCCTCGCATTTCCTGATCTGTTCATTGTTATCAGATTCACTTGAACTTTGTTTGAGTACCGCAGAATCTGATGCTTTTTGCTCATGTTCTTTGTGCAGAGTATCAGCTTCTAATTCCCGTTCAACAGATCCTTTGGTTTCTTTGTCAGACAGATGATCACCAGAAACCAGTTCAGTTCCTGGGGTTGATGCTTCCTTGTCATGAATCTCGTGAATTTCCGGTTGTTCTCCTTCGCTAGGCTCTATATTTTGAGGCTTTTCTGTGCACTCATCGGATGGAATATCACATTGCTCCGTCTTTAATTCATGAGATGTAGGTTGGCTCTGTGGAGACATATCTACACCAGCAGCGTTAGATATCACTTCCTCTTTGATTTGCTCTGGATTTTCAGCATTGTTCACAGATTTGGATTGAGAATGTTCTTGAGTCCCATCATCATCATGATCAAAAGTGCCTTCCGTATGAGATATTTCTTTGACGAGGCTAGGATCCTCACTAGCATTCTCAGTTTTTGATTCATCTCCAGCATCATTTGCAGATACAGGAAAAGACTGAAAAGCATCCCAATCGTCTTCACTAAAATTTTCCTCCTCCTCCCCATTATTCTCTTCTGCTTGCACTGCAGTAGGTGGCGCAGAAGGTTTCTCTTCACTCTGTGCTGCCGGCTTTGGTATTTTTACATCTAAAACTGGTACCTTTAAATCTGTTGCATTTTTGTCAGGTGTTACAGAAGCTCGGATTATCCCCTGAATGAAGACACCATGTACACGCACATTATCAATAAGCAACCACCATTTTATGTTAATTGGAAGTTTATTGCATAAGCAATCATCCATTTTCGTCAATATAATCCTCATCACTCTTCAGGACAGCTTACTGGTGATTGTTCAAGGTACATAAGGATATGCTAACGGAACAAGACAAGTTCAATAACCAATCCACAGAAAATATGTCGTTACAGAAAAGGAACCTGAAGTTGCTGGCGGTGTAGTGGAGGCATTGATAGCAAAGCATCCTTGAAATGAACCGCGGACGAAGGAATTTGAGCAAGGCGAGAAACAAGCTTAATGGCCATGCTGCGTAAATCATTCACTTCCTGTCATTTGTTCACATGATCAAAATAATGAATAAAAAAATATTGAAAGAACTAATTCAATATTTAGATTTTTCATTTTATATTACCCGAGAGAGCCCATCTCCAGTTGACAAGAAAACCAAAACAATGGCCTCTAGAAGCAGATTCGTATAACCTCCCTGGCAATCCTTCCCTCTGGACACAGTTTGTAATAGTACCATGAGACTCAAGCACTCACTAGCAACGGTTACTGATTCTTTAGTTATAGGATTCTGCTGGTATCATAAATGAGAGTCTTTCAGAACAATACTTAAAATATGGTATGACCAGATGATAAGGAGGAATGAAAATATAAATTGTGGTCAATGTCAAGAGTCAAGACGGATGCATAAGCTGAAAGTACCTTCAATATTTTGTGAATCAAGGAAAAAATATCGGTCATAAGTTCCCCAACAAAAAACATTAAGAAGCTGGAATCTTCTGTATTTGCACTTTTTTGAACCCTGACTTTTAGAACTTGCAAACCAATCGCTTGAACCTAACAAAAAGAAATTTCTATCAGATCGTTTTTCTCTCAGGGTATCAATCAGATTCTACCATAAACTGATATACCTGCTTATTAGAATCAGCAAGCATGGTCTGAAGACATCTAACGCAATATCTTAGTGTGCTATGGCAGGTGGAGTTTCTTTCTTTGCAATCTTCAAAGCATTCGACTTCAAGAACCAGTTTAGCAATAGATATAATTTGTTCAAGAGAAAATGTTAGCTTCATTTGCAATAGTTTGGCCTTGTTGAATCTTTTTACGTCCAGCAAATGAAACCCTTCAATACAATCCTTAGCTAGCGTAGCCACCACACTTAAACAAGTTCTAAATATCTCTCCTAGAGATAGGATGCTATCGTTAAGATTAGACTCATCTGCAACATAAAATGGAGCAAAGATCTATCAATTATCATAGCTTACTAAATCAAAGTTGAGCCTGCATCTAAGTTAGCTTGAACTCAATCCAATCATCTGGAATCTCACAGGACATAATTTGTTGCGTGCACAAAAATGCTCCAAATTATTTGATGCTAGTAACAACCAACAACAAGCCTTATTCTACTAGATGAGGTCAACTAGTAACAGCCAACAACAACAATAACAAGCATGCATGATGCCATTGTGTTCTTCTATCAACAACCAATCCTTTGAGTAAATTGTTAAATAAAAGATCTTATTTAACAACTTCACTGAATATTTTCTTTAATCTTTCTCTACCCTTTTACACAAGACTCAAGACCATCTATTTCACCTTTCTCATTGGCACCTCCCATGGCCTTCTTTATACATGTTCAAATTAACTTAAACAATTGTCTACCATTTTCTCCTTAATAGATGTTGCACCCACTCTTCCACCTATAAAATCGTTATGAATCTCATCCTTTCTTGTACGCCCACACATCAACATAAATATTTGCAGAAGTAACAACCACGAGGGTGTAAAAATAAGAAGCAAATGAAAATATTTTCAACTTCCAAATAAATGCCATAGGAAAGGAAACATGAACGTAGGCCAAATCAATTTCGACTAAAAAATCTCACCATCAATGACTTTTTTTAACAAAGGATATGCACAATTGACCACATCAATTGCTTCAGACAAGCAGAATTCAGTCGAAGCCTCCTTAATGCACCTGTATCCGCTTAAAATAAATCCCAGAACCAATGATTTTGATTGCCCTTGCATCTGAAGTAACCATGATACAAGATCAAATCAGCACTAAAGATATAGTGTATAAACAAATTCAGACAAGAGTAATTTAAGATGAATATATGATGCAAAAACATCATTGTGTTAATGATGACTGAAAATACGA